CGGTAGAGGAGATGACGGTGGGGGACCGAATACTGTTTTGTGGAAAAGAATTAGCTAAATGGGATGGAAGTAGACTTAAAGGGTTCCAACATCAAATTCAAGCATGCAAAAAAAGAATAGCATGGCTAAGAGGAAAGGAGGATAATACCAGTGTCACTGATTTTATTAGAGGACGAGTAATTCTGAACACATTGATGGAGAAAGAGAACCAGCATTGGAGACAACGAGCTAAAGAATTTTGGTTGAGTGAAGGTGACATCAACTCGCATTTTTTTCATAATGCAGTTAAAGCTCAAAGAAGAAAAATAAATTGCTGGGGTTGAGGAGGGATGATGGAGAGTGGGTGAGGGATAGGAGGATGCTGGGGGACATGATACAAAATTACTTCTCAGATTTATTTTTGGAGAAAGACAGAACCGTGACCGAAGAGGTGCTAGGGCCGATGGGGACAGTGAGACCAAAGCTTAATAGGAAGTTGTTAAGGCTGATTACGACTGAGAAGGTGAAAGAAGCAGCTTTTAACATGCATCCGGAAAAAGCACCAGGCATGATTGGTATGAATCCAGCTTTTTTCCAAAAGTTCTGGGATATTGTAGGACCTGGGGTGATTGATTTGTGTAAGGAGATTTTCAATTCTTGGAAAGTTGCAAGAGAATTGAATATTACTAACATTGTTTTGATTCCAAAGAAGGAGAGAACTGAAAATATGGGGGATTGGAGGCCAATAGCACTATGTAATGTTGTGTACAAAATCTTTTCAAAAGTTTTGGCTAATCGAATGAAGGGGCTGCTGGGGTTGTTAATAGGAGAAAACCAAAGTGCTTTTATACCAGGAAGGTCAATTGTTGATAACATTGTAGTAGCTTTTGAGACACAACACTGTTTGAAACGAAAACAAGGAGGAAAAGAAGGTTTTGTGGCTTTAAAGCTGGATATGAGCAAGGCTTATGATAGAGTAAGCTGGGAGTTTCTTGACAAAATCATTGGGCGGACGGGTTTTGATACCAAGTGGACAGGGCTGATAATGGAGTGTGTCAGAACTGTTAGTTACTATGTTCAGTTTGATAAAGGAAACTTGGGGCCGATTGTACCCGGAAGAGGGTTAAAATAAGGGATCCTTTATCACCATATTTATTTATTTTGGTCGCAGAGGGACTGAGCTCTTTGCTGAGAAAGGCCGAAAGTAGAGGGGATTTACATGGAGTGGCGGTTTGTAGAGGTGCACCGAAGGTATTTCATTTATTTTTTGCAGATGATAGTTTTCTATTCTTTAAAGCCAAAGCAGAAGAATGTGATACAGTTAAAAAAATATTAAATTATTATGAAGAGTTGTGGGGGCAGGTGGTTAACTTTTTGAAGTCAACAGTTAGCTTTAGCCCAAACACGGAGGAACAAATCAAAGATATTTGCAGATAGAAGTTGGGCATTTTTGCAGATGGTTAGCAGGGGCGATACATGGGTTTGCCGGCTATGGTGGGGCGAAACAAAGGAGCCATTCTGGGGTACTTAAGGGACCGAATTTATAATAAAATAAAAAGCTGGAATAATCGCTTTCTATCACGAGCAGGGTGGGCGATTATGTTGAAGAATGTTGTCCAGGCAATGTCTACTTATGCAATGAATGTTTTTCTTATTGCCAAAGGATTTATGTGATGAGATAGAGAAGCTTATGAATGGCTTTTGGTGGAGAGGAACAAAACTGGATCAGAAAGGCATGAGGTGGAGGAGTTGGAAGAATTTATGCAAACCAACAGAGATAGGTGGTCTGGGGTTCAGACGGCTAAGGGAGTTTAACTTGGCTATATTGGCAAAGCAAGGGTGGAGGTTGATTAATGATACAAGCAGTTTAACAGGGAAAATTTTGAAGGCAATGTATTTTCCCAACTCAGATTTCCTTAATGCTAAGCTGGGACATAACCCTTCTTTTGTGTGGAGAAGTATCTTTGAGACTCAAAGTATTCTAAAATCAAATACAAGGCGGTGGGTGGGCAATGGTATTGATGTCCAAGTGTGGGCTGATACATGGCTGCCGGGAATTGATGATGGCAAAATTACCTCGGCTAGACCTATGGGGACCCGTGATATGAATCTAGTCGTTTTACGCGATTTTACAGGGAAAAAGTGGAATGAAGACAGAATAAAAGCTTTATTTAATGAGGAAGATAAGAAGAAGAAAAAAATGAGTATTCCTTTAGTGCAACAGACCATGCAGACGGGTTCTGGTGGAAAGGGGAGACAAATGGAGTGTTCTCTGTAAAGAGCTGTTACAGAGTGCAGATGGGGGAGTTGACTGGGGCAGCAAACGGTGCATGGACACCAGCTTTGGACATCCAAGGTACCCCCTAAATTTAAATATTTTATATGGCAGGTGTTGGATGGGACAATTCTCACGGTTGACAAGCGCAGCAGAGGGGTATTATAGTACCGAATGGATGCAAATTGTGTGATAACACAGCTGAATCTTTGGAGCATGCATTTCGGTAGGGGTGGGCAAAAGACCCGGTCTCGTTGTCTGTTCCGAAATGTTCCGGTTCCGTTCCGAAATCATCCCGTTATATTTGGGATGCATTATTTTTGTCCCGTACCGGTCCCGAACCATTTCAAAACAAAATGGGTCCGGGACAAGTAGAATATATCTCGTTCCGTCCCGTTGTCCCAAATCCAAAATTGTACTTTGTAGTAGGTTAGTGTGGTCTACCAAAACCTCATTATGTAATCCAAATAATAATAATTATCCTTTTTTCTCAAACCCAAATACCAATGATCATTAAGATACTAATTGTTTTACAACATAGCACATTAAAAATTCTAAACTACCTAGTATGAACTATCATCTATCTGCAAAAAAGGAAATTGATTTTTACTTCCGAAGGCTTCATCTCTTATACGGAGTAGTATTCTTTCATCATTTTTTGACAGATTTATTAATAGTTTTTTGTGTTAGAGTTTTTTTTTTCGACAACATTTGTTTCTTGTCGCTAATTTGGTAGGTTGCATTTTTTTATCACAAATTTCTAGATTAGCTGCATTTTTTTTTTATTTAGAGTTTTTTTACGCTAGTTTTTTTTAAATAGTTTTGCTTCATTTTTGGGATTGGATTTTTTCACTACAATTTTTTGGGATGTTCCGAACCGTCCCGTTTTGTCCCGGTACCGGTTTAAATGGGACAACAAAAGGACAACGTCTTGTCCCGTCCCGTTCCGAACCGTTATTGCAAATCGGGTTCAGTATCGGGATAACCCAATTCCCGTTCCGTCCCAGACCATGCCCACCCCTATATTTCAGAGCTGTAGCTGGGCGAGAGCAGTCTGGTAGGTAGCATATATTCAGCTCGAGGAGGACGTGGCAGTGGAGGAATGGCTGAGGAGGAATATAGCAATGGGCGATGAGGCTAAACGGAGCAAATTCATCTCGCTAATGTGGAGTCTGTGGAAGAGAAGGAATACCGCGGTGTGGAAAAATCAGAAACAAGATACGACAAGCGTCATAAATGGAGCAGCGAGATTGATTGCAAGTTGGAAGGAGGCACAAAACCAAAATGGGGGTAAAAAAGACAAGGCTGATACGGGTATGGAGAAATGGAGGAAGCCTGCAAAGGAAACTATAAAAATAAATATTGATGGAGCGGTTAATGAGGCAGCATGTGTTATGGTGGCTTAGGATGATGAAGGAAATTTTCTAAAAGCAAGGGGGGGTTCGGCTGAGGCTAATTGGGTCAGTGGCAGAAATCGAAGCAGTTGGAATAAAGGAAGCTTTAGCGGGCGCAATTGAGGAAGGATGGGATAGAGTGAAGTTTGAGACTGATGTCATGACAGTAATGAAGAATATCCATAACAGGGGAGGATCTTCTTATCTCCATATCATAATTGATGATATTAGGGAAGTTTTGGAAACAAAGAGTATGTTTTTCATCTCTTTTTGTAATCGGTCTGCGAATCGTGTGGCTCATGTACTTGCGAAAGCACATGTAAATCTCCCAGGTCAGTCTAGAAGCTATGATGTTTTACCTACTTGTATTGCTAGCCTGTTGGCTAATGACTGTTTGGATTAATAAGAATGGTTGAAATTGATGATAAAAAAAAGCCATACCTAGGGTAATTATCTCTTATCGTAAAAATAAATAATTTCATACATACTATTGTATTTTTTTAATAATAAATGGATCAAAGATTTTTTTTATTCAAGTAACTAATCAAAAACTTGTGATAAATAAAAAAACAGAACACAAACACCCTCCTTGGTAGGAAAAAATTACAATTAAAAAACCAATTTTTTATTTCAATAAGATTCATGTTCTTAAACAAGACAAAAATTATCTAAAAAGTATTGATGGATTGCATCTTTTTTCCATTTCAAATAATTTTCCTTTAATTTGTCATATATTATTCTTTAATGTATCAATAGTCTTTTTAGAGCATTTTAATTATAAAATCAAATTTATTTTTCTATTGTCTAAACTCAGAATGTAATAGGTTCAAATGTTGTCGTGTATGTTTTAATGGAATTTTTTTTGCATAAAAATAGCCGCAGAGTTTTACACTGGCGGAAAAAATTTCGCTCCTCTACCCTAGCGCAAAAAAATCGCCCCGCACTAGCGAAACAAATTTCCGGCACGGAATTCTGGATTCGTCCCTGATTACGGAGCGGAATTACCTAGCAGGGCGAATTCGGTTATAAATGTCTGAGTAGTATACTTGGTCAGAAGCACGTGGGATTATCTCAGAAGGCTCAATGAACTGATGATAAACGTCCACAGTGGCTTCTTCTCTCTGTTATAGCTTGCTACCATTACTCCTAGGTCCACTATTGATGACAATAGATTAGTAGGTGTACTTAAAGAGGGATAGAATTGTTCCAGATATAATGAATGATATACTCCGTACCCTATCTAAGAAGTGTAAAGAATATGATAAATCCACATTAAAGTTCCCTTCAACGAATGATATAATGTTGTTATACATTTTCCATAAAAGGAAATAGAGGTACGTACGGTACGTGTGCGGTAAGTTATTAAAGCTGAGACAGATAGACCACGTTTCCATCCCAACAAACTGCCACAGATTATTAATTTGGTGGCCCAGCTAAGATCACCCCAGATTTGCCACTACTGAGTTTTACCTGCTCACTAAGTTCATTACTCAGTATTGTTTTATTTATTTGCCTCTTTACCCACCTTCTTATCACAGAAGGTTATGGATGATAAATTCAGAAGGCTGCCTGACTGCACTATAAACAGATTGGAGTTGGAGAATGGGATCATTTTTTCCACCCTTCAACATGACCTTGGTACTAATACCCCTGCTTTGGACTCTGATCCCGAGCTGGACTACATCAGCCAGATTCTACTGGAGGAGGATAGCATTGGTTGGGACAACAATGATAACATGTTCTTTGATCCCATTACTCTTAGTGCTGCTGAGAGTTCCTTCTATGAAGCCTTGACTGGTAATACTTCCTCACCTTTTCACAGTAATTCTGGAAGCTCAGATATCACATTTGGGAGCTCCAGTGATGATGTTGATCACATTGAATCTAAACCAGTTGTATCTAAATCATCTGTTGCGTGTGATCCCCCTGAACTCGCCACCCGGTCTTCATCAAGCCAGACTAGCAGCTTTGATGAGCTAAATGGTTCTTTGTGTAGCCTTGATAGTCTTGATTCGGTTCCCGATATATTTTGTGATGAACATACTGAGTCCATCTTAAAATTACCTAGAGGTGTGAGGGAAGCTGGTAAATGCCCATTGCCTCCAGAGGCTAGAGGTGCCATTGTCAATATAGAGAAGGACCGATCAGATGAGTCGTGTAGAGGAAAGAAGCATCACCATCCAGATGAAAGTGGGCTGGAAGATGAAAGAAAAAGCAAGCACTCTGCAGTGTATGAGGAGATTGAGTTATCTGAGGTTTTTGATAAAGTTTTACTGTGTAGTGATGATAATGAAGCTTCATCTAAATCATCTAGAGTTGGACGCACACAACACAAAGGGCAAAGTGCCCGCAAGAGTCATTCAAAGAAAAGAGGAGATAGTTGTGAAATTCTGGACCTGGAGTCTCTTTTAATCAGTTGTGCAGAATCGGTTTCTTCTGCTAGTTATAGGGCTGCAGAAGATGAACTAAAGAAGATCAGGAAGCACTCTTCGCCTAATGGCGATGCAAACCAGAGGCTGGCAAACTTATTCGCTGACAGTCTTGAGGCACGGTTGGCTGGAACTGGCATGCAGCTGAATGCAGCCTTTTCTCCTAATAACACCACAGTATCCGAGTTCCAAAAATTCTACTTGTCATCTTTGCCATTTATGAGAGTTTCACTTTTCTTTGCGAATAACATGATTTGTGAAGTAGCATCAAAATGTGCATCACTGCACATTATAGATTTTGGTATTTTATATGGTGTCCAGTGGCCCACTCTTATTCGTGATCTTTCACAAAGATTTGGTGGCCCTCCAAAACTTCGAATTACAGGGGTTGAGCTTCCCCAACCTGGTTTTCGTCCATCACAAATGGTAGAAGAGACTGGTTTTCGTCTGGCAAAATATTGTGAGCGTTTTGGTTTACCGTTTGAATACAATTCCATAACAGCAAAGAATTGGGAGACACTTAAAACTGATGACTTCAAGCTTGTGAATGATGAGGTGGTTGCTGTTAATTGCTCTGGCCGATTTGATGACCTATTGGATGAAACAGCAGTTGTTGGGGACAACCCTAAGGATGCTCTTTTAAACTTAATCCGGGAAATAAATCCTCATATATTTGTGCCGTCTCAGCGTAGTGGAGCTCTCAGCTCTCCTTTCTTTCCCACTCGGTTCCGGGAGGCTCTCTTGTACTACTCTACTGCATTTGATATGTATGATGCTGCTTTACCAAGTCATGGTCATGAGAGGTCGATTATGGAAAAAGAAATTATGGGACGCGATATAATGAATATCATTGCATGTGAGGGCATGGAACGGCATTTGAGGCCTGAAACATACAGGCAGTGGCACTCCCGCATTCTGAGGGCTGGCTTCAGCCCTGTACCCATAAACTCTAAAGTTATGAAGAAGACTAAGAAGTACATAAGGAAGGCGAGGGTAGAATACCATAAAGACTTCCTTTATATGGAAGATGGCCACTGGATCCTACAGGGTTGGAAAGGTCGGATTTTGACCTGCATTTCTTGTTGGACAAGTGCACAACAGATTCAAAGCCTGTAATTGTAAATGCAGTAACTACTGCAAGACAATCTTTCAGCATTTTGGGAACTTTACAGACTTGCAGTAACCTTTCTAGCAACATTGTGATTCCCATTTCACGGCTTCCTGCATTTCTGTGTCTTTATAACATGGCACGATAGTTATTTCAAAGAATTTAAAGCCTTAAGTTCTGCCAAGAAAAGCTGTTTAGAGAACTTCAGTCAAGCGCGTTTTCTAGCTTTTCTTTTGTCCTTAAGAAAAACAAAGTAGATTAGATCATATCAAGGTGTTTGCCTAGCTTCAGTCATTCCTCTTTCGAAAAGAATAA